ATGAATCTGGGGAGCTCATCTCATGGTGGTTCGTGGGCGCTTAATCTAGCCAACGCTGACCCTCGTCTTCCTTTGCCACTGCGCCTGCAGCTTGTAAGGCGGAAAAACCGTAGCGGTGCAACTGATGTCTTCGTCAGGAAAAACTTTTCAGCAGGTTGAACCCATGCAACGCCCCACATTCAATTTCTTCGACACATGCAACGCAAGGCTCTATCATGCAGTCATCGACCGTGAGCATTCTTTGGGCACACAAGCCTTCAGAGAGCCATGGGAATCGGCATCTCGCTGAGGACCCGGAATCTGGCCGCAGTGGCGCGGCCGACATGAAGGAGCAATCGCCGCGCTTGTGGCCGAAACGCCACAGCACGGCTACAAATGGCTGCTCTCGTTCTATACACAGCAGCTCCAAAATTGATGGCACGCAATGGCCTAAATGTCTGCAGCTTGCGGGCAGGGAGACCACGAATCCGTCCATCATGCCTTCTTCTTGAGGGGGGTATGGGGGGCTATCGCGCAAAAGCCCTCTGATAGATTGTGGCGTCCTCAGGCCTCGGTCTTACTAGGGCCCCTGCTGTGACTGACGCTATATGTGGCATGTTCTAGGCGCCTCTACGGTGTGCCAGCGGACTCAACACTGGACTCACCTGCAAGCGTGAGGTGCAAGCGTGAGGTGATGTACGCGAGCGCAGAGTGCTGTTAAGAGACCGCTTGGCACTATAGCTAGGTAATTGGTCAGCACAGTGTTGCAGACGTGCGAAACCAGCACTGAATCTAAGTTCACATCGGACGATCGGGCCGCCTGTGCCCTTAGCAGGCTAGTCCTGCTCAGTTCCATGAGCAGCCATATGAGTCTTGCTTCACTTCTTGGTGAAGATGAACTCTTCGGATTCTTCCCGTGCCCCACGCGAGCTCAAGGAATCCGAAATGACCTTGGCTCACGCTTCCACGAAGTTCTGGAATGTTTTTTCAAACGTCACAAGGTGAGAGGGGCAATGCATTGTCCGGGACTTTGATTCGGGTGCTTTGGGTAAGAACGTCTGGGACTCTGGGAGAGTTCAGCTATGGAATCCGTCGAACAAACAGTTGCTCTCCAGCATACCTGGTGAAATCAGGCTTGGCAGTCCTTCCCCACCTCTAGTCCCTTCCAACATCATCCAACAGCCCCCTTGCCGACAGGCATCCGGGAGCGGATGGTCCCCAACCAACCCCGTCCGGCCCACCTCACCGGCCCTACCTTGCATTTCTTGTTTTGCCACTTTCACATTTGGGGCGCCTGGTCTGTACATGAGCTTGCTACAACAGCATCCCCAAAAAAGGAAGGATTGCACAAGGCCTCTAGCCAACAGCACCTTCAAACCCGCGATCTATGGTTCGCCACGGCCCAGGCGTTCCCATTCGTTCCCCAAATTTATTATCGCGACCGTCAGTACCGCGGTCGCCCCTCTGCAAGTCGGGAAGTTACTCCCCGGCTTTTCCTGGGAACTTCGCCAAAATCTGGTGAGGGTCTGCCCACCCGTTCACGCTGAACCCGTACACCCAAATCAAGTCTCGATGCCCACAAACCCTCCAATTTCGGGATCAGCAATGCCACGGTTCCTGGCCCCATAGTAACAACATGACCAACAACATATGAACGCACCTTAGATGGCGATGGTGGTGATGATGACGACTATGTCCACATAAAGCGTGAGATTTGGTTTCTGTAACAATGGCGGAAGTCTTTCAAGTGTCCGTGGCCCAAGATTTACAGGTCTCCAGAACCGTCGGTGAACCCAGACCATGTGCAAACGTTTAGGGAAGCACAAGGTGTGACCAAGGTGTACAAGCCGACCTCATTGGCTACTTCTGAAGTCCCCCTACACACCAGACGTGACTTCCTGAACATCCCAACTCCGTGCCTCCGACGCGCACAAGCTAAATTGCCCAAGTCGCTCCTCTACACGACCATAATGCGAACATCTTCCGATGATTCGGCAGCTTTGGGGCTAAATTGCCTGGCAGGTGTCTGCAAGATTGGAACGCACCAGGCCTAGACACTTTGCAGCTTCCTGTTGCTGAAAACGGCCTGGAGCATGCGTGCGAAAAAATTGGGGCGTAACTCAGGCATTAAGTTCCTCGAACGTTCATCCCGCCTCTTGGCAAGTTTATTCTGCTTGCGAGAGCAACAACAAGTTCCTTCCCCTTCCACAACACACCACCGTCATGCGAAATCCAAGATGCTTCGGTGCTGTGACATATTTCAGCTGACTGTGGAAGACGGCATGCCAAAGCATGCGCCAGCCTTCCCAGGGAGCAGCTGTCAATCACAAAGGACAGACAAGGCTCTTCGCTGAGTTTCTTTGGCTGAAACATCAACATCTGGGCTCTGTTGGTGTGCCGTCTGCGCGCAGACCGATTTGCAGAAACCTTCGGCAAGTTTTGCTCAAGGCAGACACATCCACCTCTCTACCGGTGCTTGCGACACTCCGTCAGGACGAATGTTCGACCCATGACTAATCCGTTACCCAAAGTTGTGAGTACACAAGACCGTCGCAATCGTGACAAGAGCACCCCCACGAAGACTCCTACACCAGGACCCCGTACAGAAATAGTAGTGAACAATTGATCCGGTGGCTCGGGCGGAATAGTTTCTTCGCCACGCAGGATATGTTACATGCACAATCAACTCCGCGACTCCGCAACATGTTCAGGCCCCCAGTCCTCCCTGATCGTACCTCTGGCCGTTACATCCTAAGTACCCAGCCTGCCAACGTGACAAAGATGGTCTGCGAGATGGGAAGAACAATAGGGTATGCAAATGCGAGGATGGTCCACCTTGGATAGGCAGCAATGTCTTGCTCAAGCTACGTCCTCTGCTTCAAGACTGCATGTCAGAAATAGCTTGCACTTGCGGCTCGGATATCCGATACGCACAACTGCAATCGCGAAACATGGGAACTGACATTGGGTTATCGCACATGGCGAGAAGTCTGGACTAGCAATTCTGACGGCTTGAAATACACATCTTGTGCATTCCAACATGCTTCAGTTCAAGCCTTCGCACGATGTTCTGCCATCGCAGACCCCAAACAGTGATAGACCACACACCATTTACAAACCGAAGACAAGAGGACAATCGAGGGACCTTCGCGGCGACCACGGAGAGCTGACCACGAGGAGACGACGCGGAGACCACCAAGACACCACCGGCAAACCATCAAGGGGGGACCATCGATTTGTCCGGTGGGTTCCGAGCGTTAAACCCTTCCCAGCCTGGTCTGGGAGGATGCAATGTTGGGCACGACCGGCACCGTTACCACACTTCTTCCCCGTCTCGTTTGTTGGGCTTCGGGCCTTTTCCGCCGCGGCTCCGGCGAGGTTCAGCATTCAGGCTCTCTTGCCAAAATGGAGTCACGTTTTGAAGGCAAAAGGATGCCAATCAAGAGAAAAAATTGAACTCGCCATAGGGAGCACCGCACCAAAAGCACCGCACCACGGCGCTGCAGACGCGCTTCACGCGCGACCTGATCCCTCTACGCCGTAAGAACCCCACAGAACAGTGACCAGTGTGCGGCCTGCAGGATCCACTGCGAACTCTGCAAATCGCGCACGAGTGCCAGGCAAAGGTGGCACAGGCAACTAGCAACCTCAAGTTCTCCGCCTCCACCAACCCATGGGGACCATGATGTCGCGACGGTGATCCAGAATCCAATGTTGCATGAAGGCCTGCAGGGAGGCAGTTCTGGCAGTTGCTGGAATGCCTTTTCGGGGACTGGCAGCTGGCTACGAGTTGGTGCAGGCAATTTTACCTGGTTTACGGGCCCACGCAAACGCCTTTCACCCAACAAAGCAGAGAGGGACCCCTAAGAAAAAAGCCGGGCGCCCGCATTGGGATATGTGGGCCTCGGAGTAAAGTGTCAAGACGTCTTACACGTCCGCGCCTCACGTACGAAGCACTTCACCCACCCATAGAAGAACGGCAAGACGTAACGAGCAAGCACCTTCAGCTGGGAACTGCTGAGATCTAAGCTCAACCCCCAACCACTGACAATAGACGACCACAGGCGATTCGAGACCTAACACATGGGCATGTGGATTCCAAACGGCAAGTGAATAGCTTTGGAGCTAGGCTGCCAGGCTATAGCTCTTGAATTCGTAGCCCGCCTCTACTACAATAAGGGAGATCAAAACTTAGATGATGTGCAACTGTTGCAAATGGGATCTCAAGAAGCTCACGGTTAGGACGTGGTCCTAGGCGCTGTACCCCTGCCACATTTTGCTCATGAAAGCTGAAGCTGAATGCATGGAAGAAGCCAGAGACTGTGTGACCGGCCCCAAGTCCATGAGAACCTGCAAAGTGACAGCCGAGGTCACACATGAAGGTGCATGAAGGGCCCTGAAGGGCCCTTGATTTGGGAGGAGAAGGTATTGCACCTGGCGCTGCATGACCCCGAATGGAGCAGGGCTCTTTCCTGCTTTGCACAGGGCTCTCAGCCAGCGACCCTTTGCGCATGCTTCCCTAAGGACCCCCAAAGCCCACTTCAAAGTCTGGCCTTCCAGCCGGCCCTACACCGCACAAGCCCATGCATACCTGCTGACACAAACTTGGTTTGAATGACCCATACGGGGGTTACGTCGAAGATCCGCGCGTTTCTGTCCGGTTAATTATGGATCCAAGGCGTCTCTCTAAGACTCAACAAGCTCATGCAGCATGTCTGGACAATAGCTCGAAGCTTTTTGGGCGTGCCCGTACTACCGTACCACCCTAGAATGGAGCTTCATGCGTGCTACACTCGCACCAGGAAAAGCCTTGCTTGCTTTGTTGCCTCAAGCACCTACGAGTAGCTTCCTTATGACCGGACTCCGGAAACTTGCCGGCACGCAAGACTTGCAACATCTTGCAACAGCCCTTCGATGCTCTCGACCCGACACTTGCAGGAGTCCACGACGATTCAACCCACCAATTCCCAACAAGCGCCACTGCGAAAAATCTTATGAAGCCTGACAGGGCAGACAGCCGTCTAAGGCTTGACTTGTGGCCCAGGCACCCGCCAAGTCTGCGGGAAGCAGAGAATGACCCACGAAGGAATCGTGGCCTCCGAGCATCAAATCATGCGGAGGTTTGGACAACTTGCACAACTGTTGCCACATTTTGAGGCTGCTGATTTGGTACCCTGCCACCCTCTCACCGGACCCTGGGAACGCGAGAGTGCAGGTATGCCATGTCACTGAACTAAGGCTTCATGCTTCAACCGCATCCACACGGGAAGACTTGTGGCGAGTAGTGGGCTTACATATCTCTGTTTGCGTTCACGCAACTTGGTGCCCAAGAACATGGCCTTCAGGAGAAGATTCTCCGCTGTCATGCCAAGCATTCGGCACCACACTCGCCATCGCAGCACTGGGAAAAGTGAGATAATCCAAGCAACTTCCTCCACACCCCACATGTGCCGCTTGGCCTCCACACATTGCAATGAGTCCGCATGACCGTCTGAGATAAGACAAAGTACAAATGTGCTCTGACTCAGGACTATCCCAGAACCCCATTCCCGAATCTGAGCCCAATATCTCAAATGCCGAAACCACAACCCGCCTTGCACCCACAGCGATTCCGTTTTTCGGGACATTCACTGGCCGTGCAAGTTTTTGATCTGGGAAGGTTGAGATACTGAGTTAGGCGGCCAAGGTGTTGTGCTCGTGAGTGGGGGGGTTCGGTGCTCGCACGGGATACAACAGCGTTTGACACTCCAACCCAGCCATACCTGATTCCTGGTCCTCTACATAAAGGGGCACTTATGACTGCTGGAACCCAGCAAGGACATGACCGATCTCTGGCGCAAGGGAGGCTCTCGGATGGGCCTGGACCCATCTGTCCTGGAGCCCGGTCACCGAGTCATTCATGATGAGGCTCCAAACCGTGACGACGCAGTCGGACGGCGCACCTTGGTTTGAAGACTTTGCGAACTCCAGGCGACCGCCCGCTAAGCAGACGAAGAGAAGACAAAGAGCAGACCAAGAGCAGACAAAGAGCAGATGGCAAGCCGCATGTTCGTAACGGGAAAGAAGACGCGGTGTTCATGCAGCGACGGAGTAGGTGCGGTTCGTGGGCACTTGGGAACGTGCGAGAACTGCTGAGGAACTGCCTTTGTGTGCCTTTGCCAACTTCATTGTCAGCAAGCGTGAGCCGCACAGGAAGCAAAACACCATTGTGGGCGGTTTGTGAGTGCCTCTGCTAGTTCTCCGGAATGTGAGAGAGTCCGCAGCTTGGGGCTTGAATCCTGAAAACTCACACGAGAGTTGAGAGTTACCCAACCCAGCATGTTCGCAGAGGCCACGCAGAATTGACCGGCAGAGACTTGCCACTGGCCCTTCGAGCCTGAATTCAGTGTGACTTCAGACATTGTCCCAAGCCTGCGACTCAGTAAAACAGACAAAGAGTTGAGCAAAGATACGAGTGCCACTAGAGAGTCGCAGGGGTCCTAAACGCCCGAACCTCATTGAGCTTGCAGGATCTGCAATCCCGAAAGCCCAACCCCAAAAAAAACCATGCTTGAAAGGAACCGTACTTAATTTCTACTTCTGACATGGGCTGCTCCGGGGCACCCGTGTACGCGATGACTTTGAGCGTGGTGTGCAGATCTTCAGAAGTATTGTCCGGATCCCAGTAGTTCCTTGGAGGTGTTGAGAAAGTGAGGTCGTGCTGTACATTCGGGGCAATACTCTTCTGTGACATCCATCAAAGCACCAGAGTCGCGGTTGCTCTTTGATCTTGAGCTAAAGTTGGAAAGTAGAAGAATGTAGTAGACAGTCTTGACAGTAGCAAAGTTCCGTGGGGCAGTGAGCATCAGAACTGACGCCAAAACCCCTCCGACCTCAGGACCTCAGGTACGCCTTCACTTGACAGCAAACTTCCAGCCTCTGCGACAAGCCCGCTGAAGCAGCAGTTGAGTACAAGGTTCATGAAAAGTCGGTCGCTCTGAAGCGGCGGCATGTGTGACTGGCTTAAAGCCTGATGTTTCACATCCGATGCCGAGCGTCAGCTCATGAGCAAAACCGAGCGTCATGCTGTAATTTGACCTGGGCTGTGGAAACATCGCTTACGTCGAGCATTCAACGCTCAGTCCCCCCCTGCCCTGCGAAACCCTCCAAGCAGATGCAAATCAAGCCGGCCAAGAAGAGCCACTTACTTGTTCTCTACTTTACTCCCATCATGCACGCACAGACGGTCGGGCTATGAAGAAACCGGCTCCGACGGGGGGGGGGGGGGGACGGGGTTGGGCTGTTCCCTCTGATGACACACGGATCATCAAGAATCTCCTTCCGGGGCCTCGTCCCTCTCCACTCCACACCGGAAGTAAAGCTAAGCAGGGCCTAAACTGCGATGCAGAGGCTGGCAGGGCTGCGAGGTGAGATGGCTGAATGTCACCGTCTGGCAGCGGTACATCTCGTAGCACTGCACCTCAAGGGCAAATGGAGACACAAACGACCCACGCTACCCACTATTCTCTTGGGATTTTCCGTGTCATAGTTCTCCGTGTCATATCTCTCACGCAGCCCCAAAAGATGCGGATGGATGCGGATGGATGGGGAATGCATGCTCAGAGAGATGATAGGCTGCGGGTTGCGCAATCCGTTTGGATCTCAAACAAGTGGGCTTGCTCCCTCCTATGCAAGTGAAACCTGCCTCGCCATCCACAACTGCAGACAGGCGACCAGCAGATTGCACTCTGCAAGATTGCGCCCCGTATGGATCGGCGAATCGAACAGCATACCTGCAGCTCGCGGTTGCAGACAATAGTGCAAACTGTCGGACGACTCCGACTAAGAATCCTGCTACTTCTACGGCTTCGCGAAACCACATAGATATAAGATGATGATGCTGATACTTCTCTCTTGATCTAGGATTACTGTCGGTAATTTAATACATGGATAGCAGCAGATGCATGGGGTATTGACGACTACCTCGCAGTGCAACAGCTCGTTGCGCAAGTCACGGCAAGAGGGGTGACAGTAGCAGTTTTGAGGTTTGGGTTCATTGACGGGAACAGGGTCTCGGATCTACACACCCCAAGCACGATTTCTCAATTGCTGTTGCTCACCCTAGTGTCATCTAACAAGAGATCTCCCAGAAACTTAAGACGTGGATCCACCATGTCAGCGTGTCAGCGGGAAGATAGTCACAGTCAAGACTACCGGCGCAGGATGCGATCTCTCCGATCACCGCCAAAACAGCAGGCGTTTCAACCCAAAACACCTTCACAAAACCCATGATAAGATATGATAAGTGCGAAGCTGCCCAGAACAAGCTCTACTCCTGGGCTCCTTGGCTCCTGGACTCTTAAGCTATCTAAACCCTTTGAGCAAAAGGGCGGCGGCCGTCCGGCGTGCGCCAAAACTCCGATTCCAGCTGCTCGAGGAACACACGGTCGAAGTAGGAATCCTGGGTTGGCTCCGGGACACATTTGGGGACTTCACGTGGGGGGGGCTTCAGGGTCGCGTGAGTTCAAGATCTCAGGGCTTAAAGCGCCGGGGTGGTTCCCAACGGTTTCAATTGTGCTCTGCGGAAGGCGAGACATGGAGCTACGAAACAGGCTCCAGAGGAGGACGCGGGATGACGGATATCCGTTGGCTTCGGTGGTAGGCGCACCATTGCTAGTGCTGCTGCTGCTGCTGCTGCTGCTATTTCAGCTTGTAACCTAGTCCTTGCCGTTCTTCTGCAAGGTTCCTGCCCACCTCCCACTTTTGAACATCCCCGGACAAGCGCCAGCCAGGAAACAGCGTCGGCCACTGTGACCATGACGTTGAAGGGGTCCAAACCCATGTCCGGCCTCTGCGCTCGCTCCCTCTCTCTCTCTCTCTCTCTCTTCCTTCCTTCCTTCCACAGCCGAAGATCCCCCCCTTGCGGGGAAGGACCGCCCCAAGGGCTCTCTCTCTCTCTCTCTCTCTCTCTCTCTCTCTCGCTCTCATCTAAGGCTAGCGCCGGCTGGGGTCTTGCACGGTTGACGGACCGACAACTGCCCAAGAACGCTACCAGATCAGTGAGTAAAAGAGACTCCTCAAACACAAATGAATCCAAACCCTTCATCGCCAACTGTTTCAGCCTGAAGCCTCTGCAGGCAAGACGCACGCGGTTGTAGAGCTGACGCACTGCAAAGTTTTCGTTGCTTGACTTGCCAGCAACCTCGACACAGGTGCTGATCTAACATCAATTGGGCGACATGCGCAAGTATCCAAGGTTACAAAGGAATCCGGTTGATGAGGGCGTTTACTGGTGCCCTCGGGGCGACTATCGCGAGCGGCACTGAACACTTTGACATAAGAAGGGTCTGCACCTAGTCCAGGAAACCCAGTTCAGGAACTGCGAAGAGCAGAACTACGCTGAGGAGAGCTTCGGAGACTCTTGGAAGAAAGAGGGTTCGAATCTGGACAAGCTAGGCCTCAAACTGAAGTTCGCCATTAAAAAGCTCGAAAACAGCGCACGAGCTTCTGCAGGCTGCATGGTTCCGGTCGCCCCACTTGGAACCGAACCAAACCGTTAAACCCTCCCGAACCTCTCCAGGTTGGAGCTTGTGACGGGTGCACATGAAACCTCGGCTTCTCAAGATAACGCTTCGCGAAAAGACAAATTCGATGGTGTTTGGTGGGAACGTGCTTTTCCTCCCCACGAAAGCCTCCCCTCAACGAATCCCCTGGTAAAACTCCCTCCTCAGCTAAACCACGAAAGCCTCCCATCCCCCAGGACCTCCGGCGCTTGGCTGGCTTTGCAGCTCTTACACTGGAATCCTTTCTGGCGGTTGCCCCCTGTCAAGGTTGCAAACATCTCTGAATCCTTGAACACAAAACCAAACCAAAACCTCCTGAAGCCTCCCAATTCCCCAAGAATCCCTCTGTGGTATTTCTGTTGTACAGCCTTCGGTGCTCACTCAGTGTTGTCGCCAGCCCTTTCGGCGGCGTTCTCACTGGGGGTTTCTTGGCTCTCCATGTCGTCCGCTTGTCCCACCGGTGCACTTCCGTCGGAGGCTCCTCCATCCTCCTCCTCCTCCTCCTCCTCCTCCTCCTCCTCCTCCTCCTCCTCCTCCTCCTCCTCCTCCTCCTCCTCCTCCCCTCCTCCTCCTCCTCGTCCTCTCTCCTCCTCCTCCTCCTCCTCTCTCCTCCTCCTCCTCCTCCTCCTCCTCCTCCTCCTCCTCCTCCTCCTCCTTCTCCTCCTCCTCCTCCTCCTCCTCTTCTTCCGCTTCTTGGCTTGATCTTGCCCCCAACGCCCGGCTGAATCCTCCCCCTCCCGTGGATAGTTCCTCCTCCCATCTTTGTTCGTCTGCGCGGCGCCCCTTTCTTGCACTGGCCGGTGTCCGACTGTCTCGCTACCCTGACAGTCTGATGGTTTGCTGTTCGAGGCTTTGTGTGTCTGTGTCTGCGGCTCTCGCTCTCACCTGCAGCATGAGAATTTTGGCCTTCTCCTCTGCATCAACTGCCCAGACTTTTTGCTGGGCCCTGAAACGCCTCATTCTTTTGGCGAAAGTATTGCCTTCAGGTGGGCATTTCGCTTGGCAGGCAAGCACGTTGAAGCAGCCGATCTTGCTTGCTTGCTTGCTAAGCGTACGACCCCTCACAGGGGGCCGCCCCGAGGATCCCCGAGGGGCACGCACGACAGAGTTTGTCGGTGTGAGAAAGGTGCTGGTGGAGGCAGCCGATCTCTCTGTCTCTTTCTGGCTCTCTCTTGACAGCATGGCGGACCATGCAATGATCCAGCTACTTAGGTTCTATTGGCTAAGTTGTCTACCGCATAAACACGGGGCCGCCACGACAAGAACTCTCCAATCTGACTGGCTTTGCCCTACCACCTGGACATAAAACCAGTCCGGAAGCAGAAGAAAGACTTCTCTGCCATCGCTTGCAGGCTCAAGAAGGCCTCATCAGCTTCCATATCACGATCCTCCTGGGAGCCGACTTTCGTGTTCTCATTTTCAAGACGTGCTTGGGGCGTACGGTGTGGCGGTCCTTGCACTTCGGCCACGACGATGCCAACCAAAACTTTAGAACTGATATGAGGACAGGCGTGACATGTCGCTGTTGGCCCATAGGGGTCTGGATTATAACTTCCAGGCTACTGCTGCTTCTTCGAATCCCACGCAACGCTGCCCTACATGGCTCTTGCTGTCCTGAGCCAGAACCACAATCGTGTTGTGTGCCAGGGTCTGCTCTTGGAGGGAAGCAATAGTGGCAGCCAGTACATCCAGGGGCTCCTTGTATTCCTGAGGGGCGGCCAAGGAGGAAAGGAACCTGCTGCACTAGCGGACATACACAACTTCCTCAATCGAACTAGGTCAGTTCCATCTTGTCCACAACGGGGTGCCACTACAACCCCGTACACTGCCCGTACAGTATCAGCAGTGTTTGGCGGCAAGGCAACGCAACTGACATCCCAGGTGCTGTGATGACCACAGCGTGAGTCAGCAAAGGCCTCTGCAAAATGTTGTCGTTGGCACAATGGGTGCATAATCCTCCACACACCCTGAACTCAAACCCGAATGCATCAACTCAGTTCCCTGACTGCTGCATGCTGCTGCAACACGAAGAACTGAAACCGCAACTGAGCTTGGCAGCATCTTGATTCAGGAACCACGGTGCACGGAACGTTTATCTAAAGAATGATGCGTTCGACTGCACAGCAGAACTACACAATGCATCTGTTGGACAGGATTTCGTGACGGAGCACAACCTGCCACTCAAAGCCTCCACGCCACACGCTGCAGCCTTCACTCAAACCCACAAGACTTAGTCTTGACTTTGTGCTCAGAGTTCATAGCTCTGCCCTGGCTCGTGAATTAGGGGCCCAGGGGGAGGGTGAGTTGTAGTGTACAACGTGTACACTTTCGATTGCCTGTCGGTGGGCAGCTCAGCCCTCTGTCGTCCCTGCCAGAGCCTCACAAGTCAGGGGATCATGAGTCCCCCTACTACCCCCCCTATACCTCCCCCCCCTACCGTTCCCCCCCATTTAGGGATAATTAAGCCTAGTTAAGGTTAGTTAAGGGGGGAACCTAGCGGGGTAGTATAGAGGTGGGTAGTAGGGGAACCCATGAGGAGAGTGGCGCTTGGACAAGGTGTTCAGACTCGGATGTCGAAGACAGCACAAACCCCCTCTCAGCTTCCCTGCTAAACTATGGACAACTCCACACTGACTCCACACTCCCATAGTCGCACCCACGCAATGCCGATACCGAGCTGCTAAAAACACATGTCCAAACTCTTGCGGTGTCCTTGCAGTTTTATACTACGATTACAATTGTATGCGTGAAACCGCAACACCTGCTTTGCCAAAACTATTACAATTCTTTGGGAGGTGCTACCGCTCAAGTGCCCAAACACTTCGACCGTGAGATACCTTGAGCACGTCGCAGTGAGCACTGGACACAAGCACGAGTCAAAACATCAGGCATCAACACTCATGTTATTACTGCTCATATTACGATTATTAGTACTACCAGGTCTTAATTTAATAAACAGAGTCGTTGTCGCGCTTTTACAACGCAAGAAACGCTACGTGCCTTCTTACTTCTTCACTACTTCTGTGACGACTAGCTGGTGCACATCCAGGTGGCTTTGCCATCACCACGACTTCCCGGCCAACATCGTACACAACGGCACCTCCCACGTGGCTGCAAGGTCTTACTGTGAATGAGTTCCTCTCAGCTTGCAGAAGCCTCTGCAAAGTGTCAAGATTAAGGAAACCTCAAAGCAGAAAAGGGCAACTTCTTTCACGGAGGACCGTGGAGGAGAATCTTTCGGGAACTCGCCGAAAGCTGCGCAACGACCCCCCACAAAAAGACTTCTGGAGATCCTTGGAGACGAGCACTTGCTGGACACATTCAAGTGAGCTTGTCCATGTTTGGGATGATTCACCAAAGGCTAAAGTCGGGCGTCGTGCTCAGGATGGGAGGTGGTGTGGCAGATCTGCCGGACCTGGCTTCCGTCCCTGTGGAGTCGAGCGACATGGGGGTCGCCGTGATTATACTTGTGGTGCTTTTTCGCTGCTTTCCAAAAAGAGAAAGGGAGGTTTTTGAACAAAACATCGCGCGAAAACATGTGTTGCGAAGACAAGGAACAAGAGCACTGAACGAAGCCAGGCGAGTGGGAAAACCCTGAATCTGATACATCGGCAATTGGTCTCATCGGCCAACGAGGACTCTTCATTTTCCCATAGAAGAAAATGTTTTCAAAGACGTTGCATCGCTGCACGCCACGCAGCCCTTTTGATCCGAACCGAACCTGTGCGAAGAATGTCCTTGACGGATTGACTCGGGGTTGCTCTCATCGGTGTCAAGATGATCCCCGACTACACCCGCGTTACGCGGCCCAAGGCAAGAGCAGGCTGCTGAGACGCACTTAGAAATGCCACTGTCCGCACCCATGTTGGACTCATGCACAAGACAAAGAGGAGCCGACGTTGTAGTAGAGGAAGCACATATTGAGGAGGTAGGGCCGAATGAAGTTTTATATGAAGAGAACTGCAGATATATGAAGAGATAAAAAGTTCAAAACGTTCTGACATGCAATGCACGGAAACTTGCTCGCCATCAGACGTGGCACAAAACGCTGCTGCAAATGCACCACGAAACTGTCCCAAGTCACAGAATGGACTCACACAAGAAACTCTCCTCTCCGGAAGCTAGTGCAGCTCACGGCGCCTATGATAGGGGTCATGATCACAACCAGCAACCTCAGCGGTCCCAAAAAACAAACCTTCCAACTACCATCAACAGCAAGGCCATTTCCAACAAGACTTAGGTACTAGACTTTGCAAACAATCGTCCGACAAGCTGTTTGCCATAACATTTTGCCATGATATTTGCAGTGTTTCAGGTTGATGGTGGGGCCCTCAGCGACAATGGCAAGGCTTGTCTACCTGCGCATGCAAGCCTGTTCCCTCCATAAAATCACTGCTCTGCAATCTAGGTCTGCAGGCATCGCAATTGCCGCGACCGTGAGTCTACGTCACATGCGTATGTTGCACCCCTTCATATGAAGTTCCAGCGTGCAAATGCCACAGGACAACCGATAGCCTTTAGATCCCTTTACGCTGGCCTGGTCTCCTGAGCTCTGCGCAATGCTCAAGCATCATGCCGAGTTGCACATTGGATGTGAGGCATTTGTTCAGGGTTGCCTCTGGCCAGAAGTTGTCATGAAAATTGCGGAATGCAGGAGGCGCAACACATTTTGTTCTTGCCATGCCTTCAGCCCTTCCCGCCTGGGGACATAATTACAACAAGACAGCGTGGTTAAGCAGCTGCACCAACGAAACAACATGGCACAGAAAGCTTATGTTCTCTTTCAGCGTCATCGTCGTCGCCGCAGCCACCGTCGTAGTGGTAGTAGTAGTAGTAGTCGTCGTCGTCGTCGTCGTCGTCGTCGTCGTCGTCGTCGTCGTCGTCGTCGTCGTCGTCGTCGTCGTCGTCGTCGTCGTCGTCGTCGTCGTCGTCGTCGTCGTCGTCGTCGTCGTCGTCGTCGTCGTCGTCGTCGTCGTCGTGTACTAGTACTAGTACTAGTTATAGTACTAGTACTAGTAGTAGTAGTAGTAGTAGTAGTAGTAGTAGTTAGTAGTAGTAGTAGTAGTAGTAGTAGTAGTAGTAGTAGTCGTAGTAGTAGTAGTAGTACTAGTAGTAATAGTAGTAGTAGTAGTAGTAGTAGTAGTAGTAGTAGTAGTAGTAGTAGTAGTAGTAGTAGTAGTAGTAGTAGTAGTAGTAGTAATAGTAATAGTAGCGGTAGCAGTCGTAGGAGTAGTAGTCGTAGTAGGAGCAGCAGCAGCAGCAGTGGCTCACCATAAGGTCAGAGTTTCAGGTACTTGCAGTACACAAAGCAATAATGTGTGGGGGACTTGACCTCCAACCGACCTTTCGGGGATTCAGAACGGCTTGCAAAAGGATACTGAATTAACCGTCGAACCTGAAGTTGACGCATGGTTGCACAGACCGAAGCGGCCTCTCATGCCATAGACGTGCTAAGTAGATGTCGCTAATAGTAGCGGAAAACTGCAACCACAAGTCGCCGAGGAAGATACATGGATTGAACAGAATTTCCGAGGTTTGCTCCGCCAACATAGGCCATCCCTCCAACCTCATCGCGCCTCTACAGGGCCAATGAGCGATTGAGATGCCAGTGGCACCAGGACGACCATGGAGAATCTTGGCGGGAGCTCCGACATGCGACCGACTTGAGAAGGGCTCTGGGTCGCTAAGGGTGTCAAGCTTGTCTTATAACGGACCCTTCAGACTCCTACTAGGAACGAGTAGACAAACAATACCGTCTGCGCGGAGTGCAGAAGCGCGTGGCTTCAGGAAATGGATCTCCCATATCTGGAGGCCTGTTTACCTTTAGGAACATATAATCTCCACAAACCGATGGCGCAACCAAATACAGAAAGTTTGGACACCAAGACTATGCGGCCATGTCTTCAACTCCCTGGAGTGCTTCAAGGGCCGATAGCTTCTATGCCACCCCAGGGCCTATTCAAGATCAGTAAGACAGGGTCGGAGGAGTTCGCATCCGAGAAGGGCTTTGCTACTTTTCATCTCGCCTTCTCCAACCCCACTCGCTGAACACTCTGTCCCAGCGGCGCGAGGAAAGACAGTTGGCCCAAGGGGACGAGGATGAGATACTTCAGCCAAGGCTGCCCGGCCTCCAAACCAGGCATCGCAGCTTCAGGATTTGCGATTCTCAATCGTAGATCAACCGCGTTGGCTGATGTCGGCTTACGGATGCGATTGCCTTGCTGGGATTTCGGCGCTTATACTGCGCGACTACTACGTAACCAAGAAGGCTTCCCCAGCCTCCTGGCTTGGCAGAGTTCTCTGTAGCGGCGTCTTCAAGGTCCTCTTCAGAAAACCACGTATCCAGCCATCGCAGCTCCTCCGGGAAGGCTTCAAAGCTGTGGAGAGGCAATGCATTGAAGGCATAGGACCATGTGTAAATACATATTCACTATTTCTTCCTCCTGCAGAGCACGGACCTCAGCAAACAGCTCAAGTCTAGGGGGCGCTTAGGGGTCGAGCTTTGGATTAGACTTTTCAGAGTTCGGTAAAGAAATCTCAAAACTTCACCAAAAAAGTCGAATTTTCAACTCGAAGATTGAAGATTGAAGACCCCACAAAACAGTGTTTCTGGAATCTTAGATTTTAGGAGCGACCATTTCAAAAATTTATTTCGATCCTCAACGTGAAGATTTCAAACTTTTCCGTGGGGTCTTCAATCTTCAATCTTCGAAAACGAAAACACCAACATCTCCACCAAAGCAAATTATATTTGACTCTTCGCGGTCCTCAATCGCAGATGGAAGATTGAAGATCCACAGAAAAAAAACGTTTTTTCTGGAATCTTCAATCTTCAACCTCCGGCAAATTTCAATTGACTTTTTTTCGTTCCTCACGTCGAAGATTCCAGACAAAGTTTGCTGTGGGATCTTCTACACTCAGTGTTCTGTTTCCAAAGACCTTCCAAAAATGAATAAAAAGATTGTGCCTCAAATCGAAGATTCCATCAGCCTTGATTTGAGGACCGAAACACTTGCAACTTGACATTTTTGAAATTTCGATCTTGTTCAATAGCAGACAATGGAAATCAGATAGAAGACGAATACTTGTCAGATGCTCTTTGCCGGAAAAAAACGTTGGTCTAGGAAGTCCCCTTGAATGGTGTTCCGGACAATCCCAATGTTTTCGCGGGCCCGAGCTCTTCATGGATTTTCTTGGTTTTTCCGATGCCTTCAAACCAAAGTGACCGAAATTCAACAACCTACAAACCAAAACTGGCACTCCGGTCGCACTCGATCCTCCAGGGTTTCTCGTACTGCGAAGGCAGGGCGTCCATCACTACGTGCCCGGCATTAGTTTGTAGACTGTTTGTCTTCTTAGAAAAGACACAAGCAGTCAGGCCATGGATTTCATACAGCTAGTGTAGTTCGGGCCTAATCTTGAGAAAAACAAATCAATGACAATAACTACGGCATCATTCCGACAGTGAAATTCTACATTCAATCGTATGTGCTGAGTCTAGTAGTCCGTCTGTTGCATTCACCCCCCCCCCCCCCCCACCACCCCAATTGAAGCAAAGAACATACCAAAGGAAAATGCATCGTTTGCTACAGCTAGTCAAAGTATCAACAACTTACATAGCGAATGTAGTGCAACCATCCTCATAGTGCTTCTGAACTTGCTTAAGGGGTGGCCGACAAAAATGTTAGTCAATCATACTTCTACATATCCCCAGCCCTATGACAATTTGCCTCTCCCCATGTCTGGATCACAAACTAAACAAAGGCAGTATTGTTAAGATAGACTGGAAAAAACTTCATATGACAAAATGAAATATAACCCCTGACACAACCAACATTGAAAGATTTGAAATCATAGGGGTGTAACCGTTCATGTGGCTCCATGTTTTACACAAAATGTTGAAAGCTTAACGACTATAACTCAACAAACTGTACTATGTTGCTCCATGTTATGAAGCTGGCAGGGAGGCGAATGTAATATGGCCGTGAACGCGCTAAATTCTATTAGTTGCATTAACGGCCTGTTTGGTGTGAGAAACAGATGGTACCTTGTGCTGCAAATCTTTTCATGCAGTTAGTACAATGCAGCTTCCAGAATATCAACTACTATGTGCCCAAGGGATTAATGGAGCCAACATTTCTTAATTTAAGGCTGTATTCTATATATATATATATATACAATAAGCATATCCGGCCCTCCTTTACTGGCTAATACAGCCCGTTTATTCACTGCAGATAATCACATTCGACTCACTGCTTAATGTATTCGCTTAGCATATGTTCCCATCGAAAACTGCTGCACCCTTCCCTCCAACTTTGTGTGTGTAGCGTGTATATTTCTGTCTATGTATGTATATATATATATATATATATATTCATTGACATTTGTATATTCACATGTATATGTATGTATCTATATACATATATGTATATGGTCACCCCCCCCCCCCCCCCAAGATCTACACCCTCCTTGTCTACACTACTCTTCTGCTTGCTTCCCCGCACTTGTGTACAAGTAGTGCACGCCGAAAACACTGGAAATACCGATAAAACCTTACTTGTTGAGTATTTCCGGGACTATTGTTCGTAACACATCATGCATGCAAAATGTCTATAAATCTGCAACCGAATTTCGGTTTAAAATTGTATGACCTTCTATACTCCGAGAGGCAAAAACCCTGGAAGATATAGCACTTTTGCTGTTAACACCTCAAAAAACTCGTGTTTTTGTGTTTTTTACTGTTGTCTTAGTAATCAAATACGTGCTGAGCTGCACGTGTCAACACTGGGTCTGACGCGGCTTCTTTCAGGATTCCCAGGAAAAGGTCTCTTTCTCTCATACAACAATAACAGCCAATAGTAGGATAAAAGCTACCACTAACCATAACTATAATATCATGCCTACTTTTATAGTAATCATTGGTTCCGTGGGTATGTACTTAGTATTAAATTTCTATGCAATGAATATTGCATTGGTGTGCTTTTAACAATGTACCAGGCGTTTCAATCGTATTTACTTTGCCTATTTAATCAACATCGTGCTTGGAAAAAGCGTTGCTTAGGAAAATTGCATTATTTGTATCGAAACACCTGAAAACCCAAAAGTCCAAACTTCGCCAGAGATTATCCCAAGGCTTTAGGATTTGGAATTTCCGAGCACTATGATCTTCACGAGGCAAATAGGCTTCTAAGAAAGAATATGTATTCTTGAGCTTGTCTATGCGAATTGTGCGTTTGGGACAGAATATAATCTGTACAAGTGGTATTTAATTCGTGCGCAAGCAGTGTTTCATCATTATGTGCTGAAAACTGCTTGTTTTATAGTCAAATCTAGTACACGTAATACTTGTGCTAAAGTCGTGTTTCTTTAAGAACTCTACAAGAATTATGCATTTGAAAGCTTGTCTATGCTGTTTAAGAGTTCTATGTTTCTAGGAGAACTGTGTACTTGCAAGCTTCTCTATGCGAATTGTGTGTGTTTAGACATAAGGCTAGGATACTTCACTAGCCAGCCTCTTTCATAGGGTAGTAATTCAACATTTTGGCCACGCTATGTGTTTAGAAGAGTATTTCCCTGGGCTTGGGACAAGCACTGCTTCTCTAGAAACAGAACGAATTTCTTTTCAAAAAAGCATCCTCTCTCTAAAATTGCAGTATTTGTCTAGATTGCCGAGCGCAATCGCTACATTTTGCAATAGATATTCTATGAGTGAACAAAAACTAGGATAGTTCACTCGCCTCTTTCGTATAGTATTAGTTCTATATTTGCCTAGTAAAGGCACTATGCATCTGAAAAAGCAAAGTATTTCCCTAGGTTTTAGGCACGCACTACTTCTCTACAAGAGACACAAAATCACACAAAACAAAAACCCACAAACCAAAAAAAACAAAAGCAACAAAACCAAAAAAAATAAAAATGTCGAAAATAACAATATTTCTGGAACTCGTGGAAACGCGAATCCAAAAAAAGCCAAGAAAACAAAAACCCCCAAACCAAAAAAAAATCAAAACCAAAAAAAACTAAAAAGCACAAAACATGATTCCGAGACTCTTGGACAAAGGGAATCATTACCCCCTGACGTCAAGAGTTCGAAAATAATGTTTTGGTTTGTCTTTTTTTGGTATTTATGGTTTTGTTTTTTTGGTTTGGATTGTTTTTGATTTCACTTGTCCAAGAGTCTCATAATGTTTTTGTTTGCTTTTTTGGTCTTGGTGTTTTTGGTCTTGTTTTTTTGGTTTGAGTTTTTTGGCATCCTGATTTTGGCGTTTTTGACCTTTTTTGGGTTCTGGAAACCTGTAAACGTAGATCTTGGGAGGGTGGGCGAGCATATATATGTATATGATATCTATACGTGTATGTGTATATAATGTTTAGATCTACATATACGTGTATATATATATGTGTGAATATATATATATATATGTGTATATATATACACATATACATAGATGTTCAAACAAAAGTGCGTTTTTATGCAAGCTGGCACTGCTCCAGGCGGGTTGCAGCTGGCTAATTACGAGCGGGATCCTCGTTTTGTCGCTCTTGGGGACCAACTTGCCTCTCAAGACCTGAGGATGGCTAAAGAAAGTGGGGGTTCAGGGTTTGGGGCTTGGGGTTTTGGGGTTTAGGGTTTAGGGTTTAGAGTTTAGGCTTGTGGGCCATACAATCCCCTGTCAAATCGACTGCTTGAGAAACCACGGACGTTGACGCGATCGTCAACACCTCCGCGTGTAAGGTCGGCTGTGGTTATGGGCTTCGGTTGTCCCGGAATGGAGTTTGCCTGCGGTAGCTTCTCCCTGAAGTTGGGGCCTTCTGCATGCGATGTCTGGCTAATTCAGAAACCTGATGCTTCTCAGATCAGCCCCCAATGGTGCTGTATACCCGTCGTTGCTCACGGACAGCTTGTGCACAAGAAGAGGTACTCTGCAAATCAGGCGAAGCTCATCTGGGATCTCAAGTTCTCAAGCGAACACAGAATGGAAGCTAGTTCGTCTGGTCAAGACGACATGCACAAGATTACCACAAACTGAACCCGCTCACTGCGAACCGGAGTTCCCGCAGCAAGTAGAGCGTCAGGGCGACAGCGACGGGAAGCAATGCGTACAACATTGATTCCTCGTTTCAGGGACTTCCACAACTAAGCGAAGACGAGTTCAAGGCAGCCCATCGGCTTCTACATCCGGAGCCCAGGCCTAAGGAGGACCCAATTCCTTAAGCCGCCCACCCTGTACCAAAAAGACTCTTCCATTGAGATGTTCTAATCAGCGAAGTCTCCGTGACCGAGTCAGACAAATTCATGAGGCCGCGGGTCGTAGGCCTCGGTAGCGAGATCTTTGAGGCGATGCAAGCCAAGTGCAGTGAGCACACCCAATGTATTCGGCAAAGGCGGGAAGAAAAAGAGGAAACTGTCAGCCCTGAACCGAACCAGTCAGAATTGTTTGTCAGTTTGACCCTGGAGCCAAACTTTATCCCAGCATGTTTACCAAGCTATACACGCTGCACACACGCAGAGGAACATCATTGTTCTTCGTGATCTTTGGAACTAGGCTTGAAAAGTACAAGGGAAAAAGTTGATGCATGCACCCGAATAAGCCTCAAGCTTGATGGGGAACAGCTTTTGGAGATGTGCAGAGGGGTATTGTAATGGCGTGTCTGCTGCAGAGACGCGAGAACCTTGCCATTCCAAGAAAAGTGTGCTGGGGCACCTCCCTTCACTTTAAGGGGGGGCATGACCTGAGCACTGGATGCTTCTAATTCTAAATTTCTAAATACTCCAAAGTGTGGCCCTTCGAAGAGCTGCGGGCACAGAGAAGATTTGCAAGCCTGATATCGCCTGCAGCCGTTGAAGACTCATCACTTGAGCACTCCCGGTCGTTTTATGCAAAGCCAGAATGAAGCCAAATCCCTGAATTTTCTCCCTATGCACAAGCACTGCCAATGAACTCGAGCGTCATGTTGGGCGGGCTGGGAGGCGTATCTGGCATGCTCGCAAGCCATAAAAGCTTGCGGGGGATGCCGATGGATTGCAGACAAGACTCATGAGAGCAGAAAGATATAAATGCCAAGTCTAACACGTCCTTCTTGCTGGCCTACCTCATGCACTGGATTGAAAGCAGCTCTTGCATGACACGTTTCAGGCTTAGCAGGTCCTGAACACACCTACATGCATCCGAACTCCGGAAGCAAGGGCTTCGCACACAGCGAAAGCTCTCCGATTCTAAGTTACAGTGTCTGTACGTACTTAAAGCCCAAAAGTCTCAGAAAAGGCCTTGCAAAATGACCTTGTGATTTTGAAATTCCATAAACGCACGGCCATCCTGCAGCCTTGACGCCCTGCATGCACTACACGCCTCCAATATACGCCAAGCTTCAGCCGAAAGATCCTCACGGGCGCCCGGCTTCATACCAAAATACCATGCAGCACAAGCATCTCATTTTCAGAGCTGTGGACTAAGCGTTCTCGGCTGCATAAGGATCTGTGAAGCCACTGGCCAAAATGCCAGGGTTTCGGCATGTCTGACGGGAAGTGCTGGGATCTTGGCCGAACCGCCACGTTCGCCTAGCATCCTCCCCAGATTTGTAACAAAATTAACCAAAATGGACCGTGCGACACATGTCGCAACGACATATGATGCCTCTTGGAGGCAGCACACACCTCAGCATTTACAGAGCGGGCCATGTCACGTGAGGAGCATCTCGCAAGCATGTCGGCCGGGGAAATCGGAACAGCTCATAATCCTCAGCATAGAGCTGCCTGGCCTTCAGGCAGAGCTGCTCATCATAAGCAGCGCGATCCTTGGAATCCGTCCAGTGTTCCTAGTAGCGCCTTCGCAGACTCTCCGCAGCTGAAATTTCTGACCGCACCGCAATTCAGTACTGTCAGGACTGCTCTCACACCTCACACAGCTAGGCACCAATCCTGTGAAATCCTGTGAGTGAGGACATCCTCTACAAGGCTCGCAAAACAAGTACGTACCATACTTCTGCCAAATATTGGTGCCTTGGGAGATCTCTTCACGTGATTTTCTCACGTTCTGCACGCATGAACGGATTTCTGGTCCCGACTTACCAACCTGCTTTGCAGGCCAGAGGATGTCAAACTCGCAAGCGAAGCATCCCAAAAATGTCACGAACCAAACAGCCTCTGAATGACTCAAAGCTTTGGTACTCAGCAGATTGTGGACGACACTGGGTTCATGACAGCTGCGCCTGCTGGCGTAATCCGTCGCAAGCCAGTGTCCAACATGTAGGACTGGGCCATAGCTGGATCTGTGAAGACCACTGTCCACCACGCATATCGCGTGATCCGAGCGTTTTTCTGCAACCATTGCAGTGAACCCATCCCGTGACTAGCTGCTTTCTGACTGGTGATTGACTTGCAATGCTCCACGGAGTTGGGATGCGCCTGCTCGTCTTCCCAAAAGCAACTTGTCTCCGAAACCCAAATCTCCTGCGAGCTGAGCCAAGAAGACCAGTCTTTACCTCCATATGAGCCTAACCGGCGCAGCAAGTCTGCGAAGAAGAAACCCCGACTTTCGTCGTAGTTCTCGACCCAGTAAGACTCCCGGCAGTCGTACTCATGCACCACCACACCTTTGATGAGGTCTACATCACAGGCTGAAGTGTCCCAGCATTGTTTCAGAAAGTCCTCGAACCAATCAAGTTGCACTTTGCTCTTTCCCACATTCGGTGCCAACAACTTGAGACCCAGCTCTTGAGATACTGGCTGTGTGTATGTAGTCCAAATGCCTAACGCCTCTGCAGGAGTGATGTTGGAATCATGTTCGTTCCATCCTTCGTTTGTACCGAAGATGTATCGCATTCGGTCCCGATCATTGGAAGCCACGAGGTCTCGGACTTCGTCATAGGTGCATTTCGGACTTGGCTTGCGTGGCAGAAACGCACACTCCCGCCCGCTGAGCGTTCGCACCTCAGTTCTGCAACAGCCGTGAAAGGCTTTGATTTTCTTGTAGGGTAAACTGCGACATGTGGTGAAAGCACCTCAGACCGATCTATTCCGGAAATCTCCGGACATCTAAGCTTGTCAAAGCCTATGGCCCTTCTTCGCAAAACCTCATGAGTAACTCAAGGCGCTCCGTCGTAGCCAAGCATAGGCACAAATTCGATGTTGTTGTCTCTCGCCCACTGGAGGCTGGACTGTGGCTCATCAGGCATGAAACGGAAGTACCATGATACGTACCTTAGAGTCAGAGACTGAAAGACGCCTCTCCTCTCGAACAACTCTGACTTGTCCCCCTTCCCGCCCCCCACAATGATTCAAAACAATCAGAAGGGCGGGCACATTGCAGGCTGTGGAATCTTAAATACAGGACCCTCTTGGGAAAGTTGTTTTTTGGGACTTGTCTATCAGTTTATGGTTCGGGGTCCTTCCTGCGACGTCCGCACGCCACAGCATCGATGGCCCGGGCAACTGCCCAAGCAAATCAGACCAGTCCGCTAGCGAAGTCCACATCACACATGAACATACACCACGAGCATACGGTGCCAATCACCACATCACGCGCCAGGAAACACAACGATCACGCCCACATCATGGCACATTGCTCTACCCTCACTATCCACACTCCACCACCACTGCAACCACACGCCACATGCCACTGCCCACCACCCCGCACACCTCTAACACAACCACAACAACCACCACAACCACCACAACCACAACAACCACCACAAACACCACAACCACCACAACCACCACAACCCCCACCACCACCACCAGCACCACCACCAGCACCACCAGCACCGTCGCCACCACTCGCCACATACGGACCGCGACCTGTGGCTCAAGATCTCTGCGTAACCATCAAGTATACCCCATGTGTGTGATCGACGGAAGCAATACTCAAGAGGGCATAAGAATGCCAGAACACGGGTTTTTAGATGGAGAGGATAGACTATAAACACAAAACATAAACATATCCGGGCCCGGACGAGGAAAGGCTCGGGCGGGTGGCTCATGCTCACTCAAAAAAATAGCCCCACATGCACCACCACATCTCAAATGGCCCCGCGTCGCTAATGACGGAGAACGAAACCCCGAGGAATGTTGTTGCAAACCAGATAGGCTCGAGGAGCACCAGTCTTACTCAAAACATGGTCTGTGTTTGTGAAGGAGTAAGCCAATAAGCCTCAAAAGTTTCTTCTATGGAAGCTTCAGGTGCTCGCCAAAATGCCGGTAGTCCTGCACGGTACTCCGGCTAGCAGGATCGTGATGCAAATGAAGCAAGAACAAGTTGGGCAAGGACTCTGCTCAGAACCAAGTGCACTGTGCACAACCCTGAACGCCGGGTTGTACTAGCAAAAACGTATGTAATCTTAGTCAACCTGGGCCCAAGCTTCACACCTCAAAGCAACTCCTTGCGAAAACGGACCCAGAACCCGTGCCCATTCGACAGCCCCTCAAAAGTGTCATTACCCTGGGTTCCAGGGAGCCCAGAGATGGGCGTCAGGGCCATACGGCAACTCAATAACTGGAGACGGAGAGCCCCAAGGTTAAGAGCGACCCGTTCAGAACCCATAAACTACTTGTTCAAGCTCAGTGTTTGCGGAATTTGCAAGCAGGATGACCAGTTCCTACGCCGGCAAAAACACAAACTGACAACCTCAGCATCAGTGAGTTCCGGTCCTTTTCAGAGCTGACATTTCCATCTGCAAATCCCTTCTTGAAATTCTGCTTCTCCAGCACGATCCGGTCAATGATGGGTCCCTGGCTAGAGCAAAACCTTCCTTCAACTTGAAAGCCCTGTGCCCCCACCTTCTCTATCAAAACCAATACCAACTCCTCTATCAAAACCATTACCACCTCCTCTACCAAAACCAATACCAACTCCTCTACCTAAACCTTTACCAGCTCTTCTATCAAAACCAATACCAACTCATCTATCATATAGAGGCCTTGATAACTGGAATATTGTTTTGGGGGTGTTATAGTAAAATTATGTAGGAACCACAAGGGAATACTGTTAGTACATATTCCGACCCCAAAATCAGTCCATGTATGTGGCTCCTAAGCCAGCGCTTTACCAATGTAGACGAGGCCCCGAAGATAAGCAAAATCCCCAACCCAGCAGAAAGTGTTTGTTCGTGCTGCCTGCCACTTCGACGACGATGCACACCATTTTCACGAAAGTGTTGTCCATGATACAGTATGCACGCTGCTCGCCACGTAAGAAAAACATTTGATTCTCCTGGGTCCCATGGTTTTCGTGTCTTGGAACGTGCGCACGCGTGCTCTCCGTTCCATATGCGTGTGTTTATTCATTGACGCGTTTATGCCACATGTGGCGACAAGGATTCGCTGCTCAGCAATTTCAGGACATCTGTTTGTCTAATCATTCTAATGTTTCATCTGCTATGCCGCGAGCATCTGCTTCTAGACGGCTGCTATGCATCCTGTTGTCAAAGCCCGAACCCCAAAAGTCTGACCCTCAGCTCCCCATGAGCTCTGCGTGCCTCCTCCTTTACCGGAGCTTGAAACGTGATGCCATTCGTGCCTTCAGTCAATGTATCTGCACAAGAAAAAGAAATCCCCGAGTCCGGGTTTGGGGTTTGGGGTGATTCACACATAGAGAAACGTTGATGGAGTCAACGGCTACATACGGCCACCCCTGAGCTTGAACTTCGCAATCCTCTTATCGGATAGATCGGATAGACAGCACCTGGGAGTTACAAAGTGGGAAGGTCCATTTGGTGCTCATGGTTTGACAGCACCATATCCCAAACATGCGGTGCCCGTTGATTCCTACACTTCGCTCAGCACGCGCTTCAAAGGTTTTGGTCAGTGTGCACTGGACCCCTACAACATAATGAGCACCCTCAGAAGCCCGGAAACCCAGTACTGTCAGCGCCTTCTGTCAGGTTGACGTTCACAGAATATTGGCCAGGGGCACCACTCTCCGAACACCAGCTGCTTGTTGGTGGGATCCTGCCATTGGTACTCGGTCCAGACTATGAGGTCCGATAGGTTTGTGAAGTTTTGTGCCTGCGAGTCCCTGCTCCAAGATCCGAGGCAAATCCAGATGTTCAAGCCCTTACAGCGACAATAGGCAAACCCCAATATGCAACCCAGAAAACTTGGCCGTAGACCTCGTGACAGCGAGTCATTCCGAAGGTTTGCTCCAAAGCCAAGTATACTAAAATTGCAAGTCGACCTGCCTCTGGGTGGTCGGGTTGGGAGGTTCCCAATCGACTCACGGAGGCTGATGTTGGGGGCGATTGGGCCCCAAAAGCCCTGAATCCACAAAGCCCTACAGCCCAAAGGCCCCCAAATGCCCTAAGCTCTAAGCCTTAAACCCTAAACGCGTCACATTGTAAAATCACCAGGGGCCCGGTCTCCATGATTTTCGTTGGCGACGGGTCATCAAGCTCATTGCTTAGCGCAACAGTACTCAAGTTTGGGGCAGGAGGCCAAAAACCTGCAAGTGACTTGCAAGATCCCATAGTGGGTTTCGGTCGAGCGTTTGACTTAAAAACTTCGGGCGTGCAGTTTGAAGATTGACAGCGCAACGCCTTGAACCCAAACAATTTAAGCTTGGATATACTTGCAGTAAAACAAGCTTCCTTCCCCGCAACACACGTGGCTCCGGTGGCGGAAAAATTCTTGCCGACTTCGCCGGAACAGTGAAACAAAGGTCTGCGGAGACTAGCACTCACCGCCATTCACCGCTCTCGTTGTGACCTGAAACCATGAAGACATACATCAAAACGAAACCTCGACGTATCCGTCATCATACTCGACGTATCTGTAATTTTCCTCATCATCAGCAGCCACACCAGCCTTATCACGGCCATGATCGCTGTCACTGGACTGCATCGCCAGTGAGGCCACCCTCTGACATTCTGATCGACATCCGCCAAGCCCTGCTGTAGAAAATCTGGAAGTGCATCTGCCTTCCCAAAGTCTTCTGCAGTCGAGCAAATCCACCCGCGCCCCGAGCGGCATCCTTGCTTCCCCACCAGGGATTTAGAATTTAGGTTTCGGGCTTAGGATAAAATGTAAAGCTGCACAACCAAGGCAAACCAAACAGCCATGCCGATTATTCATTGCTGCCGTTGGCTTACTTTGTCAGCAGGCACGAAGCATAACAAACATTCAAGGTAAGTAGGTAAGCAAGTGTCAGGGCAGCAGCGCCATCGTGCTGTGAGTTCATCAAGGCCATCATCAGCGGCGTCATACCGGGCCAATGATAGAATAAGGTCGACAACGGAGTTCGCCTGCCAAACCGATACCGAGCCACCTCCAATGCACGGTTTGCACGGGCTGCAACACGCATATAGTTAAAGTCGAATTGGAAGTCCACGTCAGCTTGAAGCTCCTGACAAGACAAACTAGGGCTGACAAGGGCATTGGGTTATATGACCTTCAAAAAGTTAAGCATGTCAACACATAGCAGGTTTGTCGCTGTAACGCATGTGTTTACCAGTGTATAAAACCGCAAAGCTGTCATGGCCAGACAAGTCCATCGGTGAAGGAACGACAAAAACAAGCACATGTATAGACGAAGTATCCAACCACTGCCTACATGCCTGCTCCTACTCAGACTTACTGCTCTCGCTGGCTCCTATGACCTAATTTGGCGCTAAGTCTCGAGCAAATACTGAACAGTGCGCGGGCTGCAGCCGACAGCCAAATTCGCGGAGGCGAACAGGGCTCGCGAAAACGCAGGCCGGCCAAGCCTTTGTCTCCCAACCTGTCTTGCCTCACACACTCCACCAGGGTTTCAAAGTTGCCGAAGATGGCTGCAATCTCAAAGGCCGTCCATCCCCAGAGGTTTTTCGTAAACACAGAGGTCGCAGTCTGCTCGCATAGTATATATAGAGAGTCCATCTCGGTTTCCTGAAACAGCAGCCAGAGGCACCGCTGGAAAGAGACCACGGCTCGCGTCAGCCCCAGCACCCGCAGTCAGCAAAACCTGCGCCACATCATTGTTCCCTTAAAAAATCTTAGGTCCAGCGCGGACATCCAGAACATCAGCCCCAATTCAGGCTGCGCTTGTTTGGTTCTCCTGTGGATGTCCGCCCGCTCCCTCAGCAAGTCTCTCACCAGTGCAGGGTCTCCTAGCACTGAAGCGTAGTGAAGCGGTGTGAAGCCTGCAGCGTCGGCGGTTTGAGCGCTTTCGAAGCCATTCTCGTAAAGGAAGTGCGCTACCAGCGAGCCACTGAAGCGAGGCTCGAAGCCGACTTCTGCAAAGTCTTGGAGCATCTCTGGCTGGGGGTTGGTAGACAATCCTCTCATGTGCACTAGGTTGCGCAGGAGGCGATGCTGCAAGACAGGCAGGAGTTTGGGGCGGCTTCAAGTGTGAACTCTCCCCAACAGATCCAACCGGCGGGGAAGGCCAACGGCGTTCCCATCAACTTCGAGTCGTGCTCTGGATCAAAATCCAGCTTCCTTCCTCGGACAACTCCCGGCAGACCCGCTCAAGACGGCACCATCCCCTTGTTGCCCATGTGCTTGCGGAAAATACCTGCCCTGGGATGGGCTGTCAATGACAGGGCAAAGTGCCAAGAAAAAACTGCTCCTGGCCACATAGGCTGGGATGCTACTGATGGCATGGGCCAAGTTGCTCTGCTCGCCAGCGGACTGGTGCTCTAACTGTGGGCATGGGAAGTAATCGTACCAGAACGACAAGGGTTTGGAGGTGAAGTCCTTGACCGATAGGCGCCGGAGATTGACCCAGGCACCCTCTGTAGTTGCATCAAGCGGCACATACTTCATGTTGTGAAGGAGATGACGCACGGCCAGCTGTAAAACACGGAACTGCCGAAATTCCGGATCCGGATGCGTAGTGTCAACCCACTGATGAGACACGAAAGCAGCTTTCCCGCTGTTGTTGTCAAACTCGATCAGCGTGCCCTTTGCCTTCAGCGTCTCGTGTGGTTCGAGCCATCTGCAACAGCGGCACCGAGTACATTGGAAAGCACAGCGGAGACTCCTCGTCTTCTCCTCGCAAGGCTTTGGCAAAGAGCTGCAGAGGGGTCAGAGGCTTGCGCGGTCCACACTGGCAGCGCAACATGCCTTGAAGAGCCGGCATAGAGGTGGAAGAACAGCACTACCCCTGAGCACAACCGCTACGATCCAAACTACTGTTTGGGGATCTATGCATCTTCTTGCGAAACGCACCCATCCGTGCGCGCTTGGACCCTCTGCAGAAGCTGTAGCACAATCTCTAGCATACTGTACAGCAGAGACACTACAGACGAGACTATGTCAACCACTGTCTCATTCTTTAATGCATAGTGCGCTGTGTAGGCTTGGCGCGTCGTCCTTATGGTGCTCCAAGGTTGTCTATTGACACGAATCGTCAGGTTGCGCTCGTTCGGGCTCATGTAGCGGATCATCATGTGGTGAATGCCTGGCGCAACCATGTCTGAAACACGTAGCGCAACACTTTCGAAATAGGAGGACTTAGACAACTCTTCGAATGTCATACTATCCCAACCCAACATCTCTGAAACAAGCGCGGGATGCCTGGTACTCCTGCGCGGACTGTCAGCGTGACGCTGTTGTCTGGGCCATTGCGTATACCACTTACCACATAAGTCACGTGAGAGGACGCTGCACCACATGTCACCACCGCGACCTGTCCTGCCAGGATGCCATCCTCAGCCTCATAACTGCCCACGCTTGCGTGAGTGTGAGAGGTGCCAGGAGCATCAGGAAGACCTGTGCCACGGGGAAGAGCCCAGTTGTCCGAGGCCGACTTCCACACGCTCCAGGTGCTGAAGCTGATTCCCGCCAACACTGAAGCTATGCTAGCGGCTTTCATGCCCCCAAAACGGCTAAATCTTCGACCCGAATGGCTGCCCTCACGACCTGACGAAACTGCGGCAAGTACTGGCACGCGCAGCTTTGACAGAGCCACATTCCGCTCACTAAGAAAGCCGTAAACAATTCGCGAGCTCCGGCATCGGCACAGCCTCAACCGCGCCACTTCTGCTGCAGGGACGGGGGACAGGCATCCGAAAGACATGACTCTCATGCCAGAGCACCACGCAGCACAAGCATCTCTTTTTCAGAGCTGTGGACTAAGCGTTCTCGGTTGCATAAGGATCTGTGAAGCCACTGGCCAAAATGCCAGGGTTTCGGCATGTCTGACGGGAAGTGCTGGAATCTGGACCGAAACGCCACGTTCGCTTAGCATCCTCCCAAGACTTGTAACAAAATTAACCAAAATGGACCGAGCGACCACATGTCGCAACGACATATGATGCCTCTTGGAGGCAGCACACACCTCAGCATTTACAGAGCGGGCCATGTCACGTGAGGAGCATCTCGCAAGCATGTCGGCTGGGGAAATCGGAACAGCTCATAATCCTCAGCATAGAGCTGCCTGGCCTTCTGGCAGAGCTGCTCATCATAAGTAGCGTGATCTTTTGCATCCGTCCTGTGTTCAGCTAGCGCCTTCGCTGACTCTCCGAAGCTGAAGTTTCTGACCGCACTGGGGTTCGGTGCTGTCTTGGCAACCGCGTCTATAAAGCAGTCGGACAGCTCTGCCCGCATGGACTTGTCAGGGGCCATGAAGAAAACATGCTGGTAGAAGGGAAGGAACTTGCCCAAATCACATGTACGAGACCTGGGCTGTTGGACCCCTTGAGACCAACATTACTGAAGATTCGTGAAAAATCAAAGAACCCTGTTTTCAGCAACATCGCTAACCGGCCAGGAGACTGGCGCTGCCAGTGAGGATTCTCGTGCTCCAAGGCGTGGTGCATACCGAATTCCACCCTCGTCACGAAGTCCGGGAAATTGGTCGCGTTGAAGGCTTCATACGGCAAACCAAACAAGTCTTTAGTGAGGTGGGTATTGTTAGGATCATTCCCGCCGGCAATTTTGTCCAGATACGCCGACCGCAAACGGTCCAAGGGGTCCCTGACCACTGCCATCTTAGTCCAGCTTGGATCGAGCATGATTTGAATGGCCTCTGCACGTGGCAGGTGCTTGAGCTGCATCAGCCCACCGATGTAGCCGTTGGCATCGCGATTGTGTGGATTGGATGCCCAATCCTGCACTCCCACCAACCAGCGAAGAAACGTCTGCCATCGAGATGTGCCACATTTCGGCACATAGCAGAACACGAGGCGGTGGCTCGGGATCACAAATGGTGACAGCCACGCATCACTCTGATTCGCGTACCAATAATCGAAACCCTGCGTTTGCTGCACGGGCGACCCCTTCAGATCAAGCCGACAGGTGTTGCCAGAAGGCTCAACACGAGGCGGATGTTGCCCCGCTGGCGCAGTCGGTGTACCACTGCCTGGGACCGCCCACCCTGTCATGGAAGCCTTCCACACGCACCAGGCACCGAATGCTGCGCCTGCTAATGTCGCGAGGATGCTGGCTGCTTTCATGGCTCCGAGAAATGGCCGAAACGTCAGAACACAATACTTCTGACTGGTACATATAGTGAAAACAGTCTTGGATCCTGCTGCTGCGCCTGGAGCCTCTGGAGACACCAGTGTATACAAAGCATCTGCGCGACCAGGGCAACCTAACACCTGCACATTGTGGGACTTCCAAGGTTGATGTGCCTGCCTCCGCCTGTTCTACAACCACTAGATGTGCTTGTTACGCGTTGTGCCCAGAGGGCAGTAAAAGCTTGGCGGTGAAAGACAGGTCTTTCAGGGGCAAGAAGCGAAAGCAAAACACCGAGGTTGTTGGGGTGGCCCAAGTGGAGAATGCAAGCAGAAGAAGGCCTGATTAACGGTGTAACCCCGTGAGAGAGAACGCAGAACACTTGGTAGCAGATGTGACCACCACGTGCAACGTTTGCAACAGACGAAGCACCTGGAATAGGTATAAATTTCATGCCAATAAACTATCCACGTTGCACTATTGAGCTGTTTGCTGAGTTGAAACGAATCAGACGGAAAGGCGCCGAAGGGGTGCCAAGGTTTTTTCGTATCACGGTTGGTGCAACAGACAGCTGCAGCAGCCTACCAACACTATCTTGGGGGCTCAACCCTGAAAAGCTCAAAAATCGCACATTCCCGAACCCGGAAGAGTGCTAGGCTGTGGCACAGGCGGCGCCCATATCGGGAGCCAGCAGTAGCCGGCAGGTCATTGGTTTTGGATTTTTGAAGCGAACAGCAGGAAGCTCCATCCTGAGGAGCCCGCACGGTACTCTCTCGTCCCAACGGGACAGTGCATGATGAGGAGCTTCCAATGCTTGTTGCTGATACTCAATCACATTCAAAGCCCGCCCTGATGGGCCCAATGGAGGCCAGCACTCCGATATGCGAAATTATGCGAACGATGCAAAAAAAAACCGATGGAAAACCTGAGATCCAGCTGCGACATGGCCGCTCACACTGAGTCTGGGCCGGACGCTGACCTGATGGGGCACCCATGTCCCAATCAAGGAATGCTATATTAAAGCAAAGCTGAAGAATCTTGATGCACTTTAAGCCTACTTTAAGCTAAGTACCGGCAAGGCAGCCAACTTAGTGTACCTTGGAACATGCACTGGCCATGCGCACATGAAACCGAGTGGACGCGCCAGCCATCTCAAACCTGTCCGAGTTGACATCTGCACAAGACGAAAACGAGCATGCTGACAGCACGCTTGCATGCTGGTGTCAAGCTTCACATCCCTGGCTTCAAGCGTCAACAATCCTCGCAGGTCTAGCAGCCAACAGCAATCTCGCTACAGGGACGGGGGACAAGCATGAGAAAGACATGACTCTCATGTCAGAGTACCACGCAGCACAAGCATCTCTTTTTCAGAGCTGTAGACTAAGCGTTCTCGGTTGCATAAGGATCTGTGAAGCCACTGGCCAAAATGCCAGGGTTTCGGCACGTCTGACGGGAAGTGCTGGAATCTGGACCGAAACGCCACGTTCGCTTAGCATCCTCCCAAGACTTGTAACAAAATTAACCAAAATGGACCGAGCGACCACATGTCGCAACGACATATGATGCCTCTTGGAGGCAGCACACACCTTAGCATCTACAGAGTGGGCCATGTCACGTGAGGAGCATCTCGCAAGCAGGTCGGCCGGGGAAATCGGAACAGCTCATAATCCTCAGCATAGAGCTGCCTGGCCTTCAGGCAGAGCTGCTCATCATAAGTAGCGTGATCTTTTGCATCCGTCCTGTGTTCAGCTAGCGCCTTCGCTGACTCTCCGAAGCTGAAGTTTCTGACTGCACTGGGGTTCGGTGCTGTCTTGGCCACGGCCTCTATAAAGCAGTCGGACAGCTCTGCCCGCATGGTCTTGTCAGGGGGCATGAAGAAGACATGCTGGTAGAAGGGAAGGAACGTGCTCAAGTCACATCTATGAGACTGGCGTTGCCAATGCTTGTTCTCGTGGTCCAAGGAGTGGCGCATGCCGAATTCTACCCTTCTCAAAAAGTCTGAGAAACTTGTGGATGTGAAGTTCTCATATGGAAGTCCGAACAAGTGCTTGGTAAAGTTCGTGTTGCCCGGATCATTGGCACCAGCAATTTTGTCCAGATACGCCGACCGCAGACGGTCCAGGGGGTCCCTGACCACCGCCATCTTAGTCCAGCTTGGATCGAGCATGATTTGAATCGCCTCTGCACGTGGCAGGTGCTTGAGCTGCATCAGCCCACCAATGTAGTTGTTGGCATCGCGAATGTGTGGATTGGATGCCCAGTCCTGCACTCCCACCAACCAGCGAAGAAACCTCTGCCATCGAGATGTACCAGCTTTCGGCACATAGCAGAACACGAGGCGGTGGCTCGGGATCACAAATGGTGACAGCCACGCATCACTCTGATTCGCGTACCAATAATCGAAACTCTGCGGTTGCTTCACGGGCACTTTCTTCAGATCAAGCCGACAGGTGTTGCCCGAAGGCTCAACACGAGGCGGATGTTGCCCCGCTGGTGCAGACGGTGCATCATTACTGCGTGGGACGGCCCACCCTGTCATGGAAGCCTTCCACACGCACCAGGCACCGAACGCCGCTCCTGCCATTGCTGCGAGGATGCTGGCTGCTTTCATGGCTGCGAAAAGCCCAACTCAATTTCACCATGTTTCATATAAGCTAGTTGCTTCTTTGCTCGTCACACTTTCGGTCCCTTGAGACCCAGCTCTTGATGGCTCTTGAGATATGGGCTGCGTGTAGGAGCAACGGAAACACAGATTGGCTGTTATGATTTGGCCAAAACACACAACTCCATGTTCATACAAACCTCATTTGACCACACAATTCGATTCACCACGTCGCCAGCTCAACTATTCACCCCAACAACCAGAAATCCATGTACATGCAAATCGAGAGAGGCTTCGTCAAGTTGGTTTTCCGCGTTGTGTTCGGGATGACTGACGAGAATGCTGAGGGCGGCGCGAGGACAAACCAGCACCAGGGGACCGCGTCAAACGCGCATACATGCTCATAAGCACCCCTTGGTGCCAGCAAGCGCATGCGTGTGTGCCCTTGCGGAACTCCTCGACGAGAATGCGGTTTGGGGCCTTAACGCTCTTGCAGGTGCCGTTCGCCAAGACGGCTTGTGTGCTTCTATGCTACGACCGGAGGCTTGCAGCGACCAGACCTTCCGGATCGTGCCAATGCTGGGTGGCTTTGTGCTCAAAGGCGATGAGAAAACCCAGGAGCTGCAGTTGAAAGCCCAGGCACTTTAGCCTGCACTGGCATGGACACAGGACGTCATAGGACACAATTTCGCAAATTGATAAAGTCTTGGCACACAATGCCACCAACCCCAGCGGAACTGTGAGTGCCATGGTTGGGCGTGCGCCCAAAGAAACCGCGTCATCATTGCCAACATCTCGTCATCGCCGAAGCCAGAAGGGAAGACTTGATTGTCAAACCGAAGAATTGATGTCCCAATCTTGCAAGGCAGACCTCGGCATTGGCACTGCAATAGGCGGTGCATCTCGAATTTGAAGTCACCAACCGCTGGATTGGGTGGCGGGGTCATAGCAGCCAAAGCCACGAGCACAACCCCAGTTGCCTCTGATGAGCGAAATTGTGCAGTGATGTAGCCCCCATTTCAGAAAGCCGAAAGGCACTCGAAAGCACTGCCGTCCTTCAAAGGAGGAAGGGCCTCGTAAGATGTGACCCAGGTTCATCGCCGTGCTGCGGGGATCGTGCGTGTCGAAGCGCTCTCGCTGTGCATGTGCACGTGTTTACAACAGCGCCGACGAACTCTCTGCCGGGATCGTGTGTGTCGAAGCGAACTCGCTGTGCGGGCTTGCGCATTTACAGAATCGCCGACGAACCCTCTGCGGGGGTCGCGCACATCGAACCGTTGTCGGTGTCTTCCGACTCTGTTTCCTCCACACGTCCTGCTGTAGGAGTAGGCACTGCTCCAACGAGGAGGGATGTCTCATGAAATGTCCGAATAATAACCCAGAAGGAGGTAATGTTTTTGCTGAGTGAAAAGCTTGTGCATGAAGATATTCGTTTGAACATGAAGCATCCGAGGGCTCCAGAACTCGATGATAGAAAGATGATTTAGTTGTAAAAATGCGGCGAAGAAACTTATAGTGGATGGAGTCCAGGTGTACAAATTGGGAAGGAGAGGTTGTCTATCTCACAAAAGAACCGAATAGACTGTACGACAAAGCAGTAGACTCGCAATTTCCAAGGGGGACAGAGATTTCGAAGCCGCAACTGCCTGAGAAATACGATGAAAACGTAAGTGTCTGTTGTTGAACGTGAGTCTAAATACGCCCCAAAGGGGAACCGGAGTCGGGGTTGGCTGCGTTCCTCGAAAAGACGCAGAAGACGATCCAGGGGCTGGAGTATCAAACGCCCCAGAATTGCTGGGCGAAACGTTCCTCAACATCATGAATGAGGTGAGGAAGTACAAAGGAGAACAGTTGGAGAACAGATAAGTTTTGTAAATGGAAAAGTGTAGGCAGGAGAAATGTACTGAGGCGCGTTCGGCTCGCCATCCGCTTGTTTTTCCCCTCCAGAAACATAGATGATGAAGTCACTAAAGAGGGTACTCCTTCCACCTCGCGGAGCAATGGAAACCCTACCGCTTACCTCTGCAAACTCGTTGTTGTCGGTGTGCGTGAGGCCCGGGAATTGGGACCCGGCGGTTCACAGCAGAGTCGACTCGTAGCTCCAGTGGCAAAATGGCTCAGGCAAAGGCAGAATCCTTAAGCTTCTGCGAAGGCAGGGCCTGTTGCTGAGCTCTAGTGCGTTCGGCCTGGACACTGATTAACTTCCCAACTGCTGTGGACCGTGCGGCTACGACTACGACTACGACTACGACTACTACTACTACTACTACTACTACTACTACTACTACTACTACTACTACTACTACTACTACTACTACTACTACTACTACTACTACTACTACTACTACTACTACTACTACTACTACTACTACGTACTACTACTACGTACTACTA